AGAGAAGCAAGATTTATCAACTCTAATACTTCACGAAAATCCAAGATATGGAGAGTATAGGAGTGGGAAAATGCCTTTGGAATTTACTGAGAAAAAGGAGAGGAAAAGGTGTTCGAAACTAGCCTGCTAATTCATTTAAAGCATCCTTAAATATCCTAATCCATAAAAGGAGTACCATACTTCTTTAATCTAAAAGTAATGGTATGTAAGGAAGCATGGGAGACCCGAACAGTCAAGACACTCCATCAAGCCACTTCCTATGCAGTTTATGGATTGGAGATGAAAAATAGGACACAAGGAGTGTCTTTTACTCTATCTTTCCAGTAATTACAAGTATATATATTACTTTATATAAAAGGCTACCCTTTATATAAAAGATCTCTAAGATATATAAATTATAACTAGTAGAATGTATATGTATATATATATATATATATATATATATATATATATATATATATATATATATATAATCACTCATAAAATATTTATCTATCCACCTTTACAAGTCAAAATTAAACCCATCTTAAAATGTCCTGGAGCAATTATGCCTATCATTATGGGTACTTAATATAAAATGTTCTCTCTTTACCCATCCAAGAGGCCCAAATCCTAAAGGGACATGTTGGAATATTTGTTGTGTTTGCAACACCTCACTAAGAATCTCATGACATCCTTTTTTTTTTTCATACCAAAGACCATAATTACATAGAAAATGCTTATGATCATTAGGATTAGAAAACTTCATACATAGGATTGGAACCATCTTATCTCATTGTTGTGTTTCATCATGTACATGATACAATGGTTCATCATTAGCACCATCTACTTGGTTAGAATCACTTTCCGCATTCTTTGCAATGAGACAAAGTAAATTCAAGAATTTATCCCTTAGTGTTTAATTTGTTGTTTTACACCACCACTTCATTATCTTTGTGGTCATAAGAAATATTGTCTAACATGATAAAGTCAAAATTATCTTCACAGTTCTGATCTTCATCCCCATATGTTTCATCTTCAAGTTCTTCATCCAAAATGCAATCAAAAAGTAGTTTGTTCATGTGGTCGACATAAAAAATGATTTTCCTATCATTTTTGTTGGCAAAGTCAAGAAATTCTTTGTAGTCCCCATCGTTATGCAAAATTTTCAAAGTCCCAAACAATCTTTCTTAGGGAAGGCGTAATATATATCCTTCCATTTCTCTCTTGTGATATATTCAAGGAACATGGGGATAACACATGCAACTGAAATCAATGCCACATGCACATGTTCTATTTGATTCGAAGTAGACTAATGGCTTTAGGGTGAATGTTCCATGGTACTAGCTAGACACAAACGATTAATAGCTTATCTTCATTAAACTTCAAACCCATTGTTGAAGGTTGGGTACAAAAATCGAATTTGCTAATGGAGGGAAGAAAGGGTTTAGGGAATAATGAGATTGTAGTTGTAGGGAAGAAAAGAGACTGTGCTCTAACTTATTTGGGGGTAAATGGGTAATGACATGTAATGCCTAATAATTTTCATGTAATCAGTTTCAATTGAGGTGTATTATACATGTAATAAGATTTTAATTATATATTTACGTATGGGCTTTGTAACCGTTAACTCCACCATAGACAGTGATATTGGTCTTTTGGCAACAATTTGAAAAATTCAATGGCAAATCGCATACAAAAGAAAGTTAAGAGACTATATATGTATAATTACAAAAGTTCATTACCTTACACAACCCAAATTAATTAGAAACACAAAAGTTTTTTAAACCATAAAATATGGTTATTTTGTTGTTAAAAAAGGGAAGAATTTCCTAGATATATGTGTGTAAGTATTTAATTTTATAACCATCAGTATTTAAACATATTTAGTTTCTAAAGTGTATACCCAAAAAGTCTCATCTCATTTTACAACATCATCACAAAAACCAATTAATTTTGTTGTCTATTTTTTAATAGATGTGAATGACAATCAACCAATTTTAAAAATGCACAAAAGATGACTATAATAATTATTAAGGAGCTTATGATCAAGATTCATACATATTCAAGGACAACTCATGATTCTTATAGAATCCGGGTAATCATAAATGATTTATTAGCTTTCGACAAAAATTACAACTTCTTTGTTTTATGCTTTCACCAATTTCTGCAATACACAAACAAACCAATGACAAATTCAACAAAGTGTATCACATTGTACTTTATATTTTATCCATAATAACAGTATAGTTATATTTTCTTATCCATAATAGCAACATACTTATATTTTTTAAATGATGATAGAAAAGTTACTCTATTTAATTTTTACCAACAATAGCAACATACTTGTATTTTGGTAACCTAAATGTATGTAATGTTGCTATTAAAAGAAAAAACACTTCCTCTTGAACATGGTCAATTACATTCCATCTGATAGAACATACAACTTTTTTTCATTTCAATTATGAGAATTACTGCAGTCCTAATTCAACTCCATAAAGACACTACCTATAAAAGCTATAAGTGCTTGCATAAACACATAAACTTAGATTAGTCGAAAGATAGATTAAAACTGATTCATGATAGAAAATTGTATCATTTTGGGAGATTCTAATGAAGTTTTTTCACACATCATTCGATTGGCTAATGCAAACTAATAATATGATTTCAAGTAAAGGAAGATACCTTATCCTTCTTGCCTCTGGTGAAGAACTTGTATCCACTAAAGATAAGCAATCCCCAGCCAGATAAAGAGAGAATAACAAACTAGAAATAGAAATGTAATAGTTATCATCATAGGTATAAGTTCATCAAATGATTTATGGATTATCAAAAAAAAGATTTCCGAAAAAGTTTTAAAATTCATATCAATCTGAAATGTAGAAACCACCTTATCAAATGTGAAAGATTGTATTTTTTAAAACTCATGTGAAATTCCTAAGGCCTTCAATTATCTAATCCAACATTCATAGAAAAAGATAGAGAACTCACATGCTCCTCCTTCCACCTGGATGGACTCATTGGATCTTTCCAAAATGCCACTTTTGGAGTTCCATGAGGATCTGAAAATAAACACAATCATTCAAATCAAAATATGTGTGAGCGTGTTAAAACCACAATGCACATCAATATTTAGAGACGATTAAGTCACATATTTTTTTGTGTATGTGTGTGTGAGAGAGAGAGAGAGAGAGAGACAAATAGAGAGATGTACAATACCGGCGGCGCCGGCGAGGCCACGGCGTTGGATAAGTGATGCGGCATGAGAAACCAATCTAGGAGAGGAGATACGGAGTACGTTAGCAGCTTGACAAACAACCATTGATGACGCCATTTTGGTAGCTTCGAACAATTTTCGTTCAATCGATCGTCGTTCTATGAATCCCAAAATGAAATTTTGATGGAGGAGATGAAGATACCTGGTAAAAAAAAGTGTACAATTTAGCACAACGTCGTCGTGTGGCAAAAATTTTATTTTTTTAGAAATAACCCTTTTGTTATTTACAGTTTGCTATTTTAAGGCCTAAAACAAGTAGGCTACAGACTCGGTCAATACTAGGACTTCCCCTTTTATGTCGTTTAGGAGCTGATGTGTTTGATTCAGTTTTTAAAGTAGATTTCTTCCTATTTTCTAAAAAAAATATTATATTGAAATTTCGAATATGGAGGAAATTTATATTAATTAAAAGAAGGGAAAATGACATTGTAGTACATTAAATTTTCGTCATTTGTCCGATTTGGTCACTAAAGTACTTTTCTTGTGTATTAGACCACTAAACTCGTATGTGACCTGTCAATTAAGCCATTTTTATCAAAATTAACCGGTTACCGGGTCATAAAGCTGATGTGACACGTCATTTAATGGAAGCATTCCTTCACAAATCGGGCATTTTGAAGCATTTAAAATCCCTTAAGTTACAGATATTGCTTCTACACCTGAAGCTTCTGCTCCGGTTCCGAGCGAGAAGAAGAAGACGAAGAAGAATGCTCCATTGTCGTCGCCTACCGGGGCACTTTCTCCTGGGTAGATTGGCGACGATTCTCCCTCTCCTACTTTTTCTTTTTCGTTTTTGGCTCTTGTGGGTTCCAATTTGTTGTTGTTCAATCTGACTAATAATAGTTTCTCAGGTTTTCTTCCTTTTGAATTAGCGAGGTTCGATATGACTAATAATAGTTTCTCCGGTTTTATTCCTTTGGAATTAGCGAGGTTGACCACAACAAGCTTTCCGGTGGGATGACAGAAGTGATTGGGAATCTAACTCGTTTGAATGTTCTGTAGCTTCAAAGAAACAGTCTCTCTGAGGAAATTCCTTGAACACTTGGCGAGTGTAAGAAAGTTTTCGAGCTTAGGCTATCGGAGAACTTGTTCGCAGAGCAATCAAAGAAGAGATCATGGGAAATGAGATTTTGAAGTTAGGAAAAGGAAAAAGAGAGATTGATATGGGGTAAACGAGAAGGATCGATGGAGACCGGTGGATTAATGATGTGGCTAACAAATAATGAAGACAAATTAATTATTAAATGCCACGTTAGTTTTGTAACATGGTAACCAGTTAATTTTAACAAAAATAGCTTAATTGACATGTCAAATACTTGTTTAGTGATGTAATGCACAAGAAAATTACTTTAGTGACAAAATCGGATGAATGACGAAAATTTAATGTGTTGCAGTGTCATTTTCCCTTAAAAGAACGAAATGTAAAAAGATAAATATCACATTTCACTTATAAATAGGTTTGATTTTTTTAAGAGTAAAGACAATTATAGATATGAAATCTAATTTATTCAATGGCATAGACGGAAATGTAATGAATCGTCTTCAAATTATGAAAACTGATTGATTGTATAATGTAACTTGTTTCTCATTTCTAATAACATTGTACATCTTTAAAATATTTTACATTCTAATTTACATTTTCTACAATCATTTAAAAAAAAAAAAAGAATCTAAAAACAAAATAAATACACCTCTAAGAAGAAAATTGGGATGGAAACTTGGAACTGGTTTCTAACACATCATTTTATCCTGCCATCAACATGGGGAACCAAACGGGGTAAAGTGCAACGAGTATTAGCACAAGGATAAGGGCAATAGCAATGAAAGTACATTTTCTTGAACTCTTTTGCAACTCTCGGGACTCTACCAATTGCTCAGTCCCACGATGAACAAATGAACTCGCATGGGCCACATTGCTCTCGATGTCGTTTAATTGTTGTCCTTGGGCTTCTACTAATGCGGCCATATCCAAAAAGATTTGGTGGAGTTCTATCAAGTTTTTCTCTATATCTTTTACAGCATCATGTCTTTCTTGAATTTCTGAAATTGTATCCATGATTTGACCCCTACCTTGCTCTTGGATTGCTTTTTGAAGAAAATCTTCGCCTTCTCCACTAGATATTAAACTATCAATTAATTCATCGTTTGCTTGTTCACCCGTAATTGTAAAGTATCTTCTCCCGACTGTCTCTTTGTACTCATCATTCATCCGAGCACGCAATGCCTGAAAACTATCCATCATGGTTTTAAGTTTTTTCCCCAAACCACTAACAACAGAAGTGCGAGTTCGATCTGTAGATGAGCCTAGTTCACAACCAGGAATCTTTCGATTCTCCACATTGGATTTGTCAAGGGCCACAAGCTTCCCCTTGATGACCTTCACGCGTTTTAATACTTGCTCGACATCAGAGTCCATCTTGGCCCGGAGTTGCTTCATTGTTTTTGCATTATGGACCGTTTTACTCTCCTCATTTGATTCTTGTAGCTTTTTGTACAATTTCTCGACTCCGGCCATGTCTTCTTTCACGTTTTCCACATCTTGGAAAAATTGATCAAGATCGACGGTGTCGTTCATGGCACTGCCACCACCGGCCTCCATGTCGTCAAGATTTTTTTTAAAAGAACTTGAGAACAAATCATTCATCTTGGCTGTTTTTTTTTTAAATTATATCAAGTTTCCAACTATAAAATTCTTAAGAGATGGGAGATAGAATTAAGAAAAAGAAAAAAAGGAAAAGGAATGGACCTTTTCTTCTTCTTCCCTCCTGGCAAAACAAGAGAGAATCATAACAATTGGAAGAAAAGGTGAAAACAGAACAAAGAAAACAATTGATCAACTAATAAATGTTAGCATTTTCAATAACTATTTTTTATGGGGTCAGTATTTAAAGTAGGAGAAATTTAGTGGTCGAATGTTGAGAACATAAATTCAATTTTATCACACTTTTGATGGTTTACGATATATATATATATATATATATATATATATATATATATATATATATATATATATATATATATATATATATATATATATATATATATATATATATATATATATATATATATATATACTAGTCGTTTATCCGCGCAAAGCGGCGGATGATAAATAGTTTGTTTCGATAATTAATTTCTTTTCCAAGGAGAATGATTATTTTCAATTCAATCATTAGTTTCTTTTAGATAATATGTTATATTAAAAATAAAAAAAATTCATGAAATGATCAAATTATAGGGTGTTGAGTATTTATTTGGATCTGATCAAAACCTTGGAAGAGAAGATTTATAGGAGTTTGTTTAAAATTTAATATTATTTTATTAGTGAATAGTTGTACAATTAGCTTAATGATTTGGACGTCTTAAAAAATTATTATTATTTTATTCAATCTATTTTTAGAAATAATAGGATTTGTTTTATAAGATAGTAAATATATATATAATCGGCGGTGGCATTTTTGAAACTATCTATCTATATATATATATATATATATATATATATATTATATATATATATATATATATATATATATATATATATATATATATATATATAATCGGCGGTGGCATTTTTGAAACTATCTCCACCTTCTTGGAATCTTCCTGCAAATGGTAAATCTTTTGAGCACATGATCGTTAGTTGTAATATAGAAAACCCTCACTCAATTTCCCCTCTTATTCAGCCTCTTTGTCGTTACTTACCGTATCAGTAGGCTATTGATCGTTTGTCGATTGTTTAATCCTTCGTTCGAGCTCAAAATATTGTTCAAATCTTCGTTGTTAATCTTAATCGTTGTCTTCTTGATGTTACGGAAGCAGATAATTTTCTACTTTTGTAGTTTTTATGTTTTTAAATTCGCATTTGCTCTGTTTTTCTTAATCAAAGTTCTTAATGCTTTATTTTGTTCTCATTGTTGTTTAGATTGTTCGATATATTCTCATCGTTTATTTTTTACGTTTTTCGTATTTATGAAACCCTAATTCCTTGTATATTCGATATTCATGTTTTTATGTTTGCTTTGGTTGAATTTTTTTGTTAATCGAAGTATTTTAAGTTTTGTTTCTTGTTTTATGTTGCTGAAATTTTTAGATTAGTTAATACTGTCAATTTTAGATATCGTTTTATTGTTTATATAAACGTAATTTTATCAAATTTGCGTGTTTATCTTTTGGTTTAATATCAAATGTTAGTTTTTTATGTTAATATTTTGTTTATGCTGATTATTTACTATGTTTCTATCGATTAGTTTTCATATATTGATTCATGTTTGTAGTTTCTATGTAGATAGGGTGGTGTTATTATCTGTTTTATGTATTCAAGAAGGATTCAAGAAAATATAGTTGTTATCTATGTTCATATAAGGAATTCATAGTTTTTTGTTTTCAACAGTGTTAAATACCAGATGTTTATTTTATTATCCTCATAACCTACCTTATTCTTCATGTTTGAAAATATCTTTTGTAATCAATGAAATGATAATATTGTATTTCATTTTTTTTTCTAAATTCTTATCTACAAGAATTGTTTTTTTTTTTTTTTTATTCCTTGATATTTTGATATTATTCTTTTTTAACATCATTTTCTATTGTGTTGTATTTATATGTAGTTGAATCAAAGAAAATAAAAAGATTATCTCTTCCAAAAGATGAAAAACAAAATTTTGTTCATCTTTTTTCTAACAGAAAGGCTTCATTAATGTAATGTCCCAAAAATTAAAACTATTTTTTTTATTTTTAAATCAATAAAACCATTATCCAAAACAATATCGTAAAACTATGGTGAATCAAAGTGTATCAATAACATCCAATTACATCAAAATACTATCAAATGTGAAACGATGTGGTGTGTGCACTACAATCATCCCGTGTAACAACCCAAAAATCAAGGGTAAAAATTTCATTTTTCAATACAGTCAAAATACATAACCCATAAAAGCTATAAAATCCATATTAGCTATAAAAGCTACATATATCAATCACATAAGCCATGCATGTAAACATACAAGGATGTCGTGAGTTCGTCCCCAGGGTCTTACTCCATGATGCCATGGGCTCCCTACATGGTCATACACCTAATTGTCTTTGGCTCATCCCATGGTCTTTAGTAGGAAAGCCATGGGCTCCCCACAAGGTCTTATGTCCTAGTTCCATGGCCTCCCCCATGGTCTTGACCTGAAAAGCCATGGGCTCCCCCACATAGTCTTACATCCAAGTGCCATGCCCCTACCCCATGGTCTTTAATAGGAAATCCATGGGCTCTCCACATAGTCTTACATCCAAGTGCCATGGGATCTCCCATGGTCTTCCATGCAAGTATCACAAAGACAGCTAGCATATCACATAGCATATAACCAACTAGCATACTTCCTAGCACATAACCACTATCATGCCTCATAATATAACTTCAACTAGTGTACCACATATCATAAAATGGGTCGGCCTTGGTGCCTTCGACCCATTGGTATGTTGAGGAGACTCACCTCAAATACAGAAGCTTCCCGAATGACATTTTTAGTTGCTGCCCTGCCAACCTCCGGAGCTGTCAATGCCTACCATTATACCCAATTAGCAACTAAGTCCCATACTATAATCCTTAATACATACATGGGGTAAAATGACCATTCTACCATTGGCCCAGTATGATTTAAACTGAGGCCCAAGCCTAAAACAAAAGCCCAATGCTATGATGTCCATAAACTGAGGCCCAAGCTTAAAACAAATGGTCAACCCTAGTCAACTCTTGGTCAAAGTCAAAGTCAACCCTCAAGGTCAACAGTCCATGTTGACCCAACTCGTCGAGTTCCTTTAGTAATTCGTCAACTCATCGAGTTACCTGAGTAACTCGTCGAGTTCCTTAATGTCTATAGGACCGAAAACTCTAAACTAAAATCTCTTAATCAGTTCACCAAAATCACTCACGATCCCAAGAATGGGAAAATCTAACCCGACTCGTCGTGTTGGCTTAGCCACTTGTTGAGTCCCTTCAGTCCTTTTTGTGTTTAGTCCTTTCCAATGAAATCCAAGGCTCTAAATCACAGATCCCCTTATGGTATATTTACCACATAAAGTTGAAAACTTTACGTGCATGCAAGGCATCAAAAGCTAAAAACATTTAATCAAAGATTTTCTAGGGACTTAAAGAATGAAGGAGGGCCAATACTTGATAAAGTTGGAAATTTTAAGTCCCCAAAGGCCCTGAGCTGTGCATATCTAAAGCCATCTCTTCATATCATGCTCAAAACCAAGAATGATATTAGCCATAAACTGTCATAGAAGAAGATCTAAGCAATGGAAGGTTTCGACTTTATACCTTAAAATGATTGCCACAGCAGAGTAAACATCGGATCTATAGCCTCTCCCTTCAGCTATGCCCCAACCACTTCAAGCTTCTTCACATAAACAATAAAAGGCACTCCTTAAGCCCTCACACACTCAAAATGGGAGATAAGACACAATTTAGGGTTTCAATGTACAAACCCCTAAAAAGTAGGATTTTCCTTTACTGTATCTAGTCATCGAGTTGGGGCCTTCCAACTTGTTGAGTAGATCCAACATCCCACGTCCTCATAATTGATCTCTACTCGACGATTTGGAGCTCCCCAACTCATTGAGTTCTAATCCTAAACCCTAAAAATTCTAAAAATAATTTGATATCTGAGACGAGCATCACATCTGAGGCTCTTCTGCTTCAAACCAGTAGTACCTGAAACATAAACTGTAAATCATAAGCACAAAGCTTAGTGAGTTCCCCAAAATACCACATATCATACATATCAAACATATAATGGGCCTCGCCCGTCATCGAACCCTGCCCGACATCGTGCCCCGCCCGTTATCGAGCCCCACCCGAAACATATATGTCAGTCATCAGGCTCTGCCTGGCATCGGGCCCCTCCTGGTATACATATAAACATACAATCATATAAATACATGCAATAATCACAAAGATAAATAGCATACAAGATAGTCATTGGGCCCCGCCGGACATCAGGCGGGGCCCGATATACATATCAATATCATACATGCAAGAGTTACACAAACAACTAGCATCCTAATCATAATATGCCATGGGTTGACATTGGTGCCTTGGAACTACTAAACATAGTGAGGAAAGTCACCTCAAGATGTACAATCGCTAAGATAAAATTTCAGTCTGTTGACCTGGAAAATCCCCACGCTCAAATGACTTGTTAATATGAAAATGACTCTGAAGTCACAAGCTCAAGTTACTCCCAAGCAACCTCCAGGTGTTCTTCTTCTTCGTTTTTCAATAAAACACCACCAAATCTCACATTCAAGCTCAAAGCTCAACAAAGGAACCTCGGTTTTCATTCTAATGGTATAGGGTGATGGAGGATGATCGATAATATGTCCAAAGGTGTTACATGTTGTTTAAGTAGGGTTCAAACCCTAAAAATTAGGGTTTTCCCCTGCCTTACATACGTCGTGCGTACTCCCACATATGCCCAACATACGTAGGTGCACGCACGATCCAGAAGCGGACTATTATGCTAAGTGTACTCATAGAGTACGCCCATAGTATGTGGATGCATACGCGAGCCAGACATGGGCTAGTAGGCTAAGATTACTCATAGAGTATGC